AAATAATTGAGATAATATACTTACTTACGCCTGTTACTCCTCGTGAAGGAGCATAGGCCGCTCACCAGCGTTCTCCATCCAACCCTGTCCTGGGCAATCCTTTCTAGCTCCGTCCAGTTGTAATTCATTGTTTTCATATCTGCTTCTATTATCCGACGCAATGTGTTCTTTGGCCTTCCTCTTTTTCGCTTCCCCTCAGGATTCCAAGTTAGGGCTTGCCTCGTGATGCAGTTTGACGATTTGCGTAATGTATGTCCTATCCATTTCCATCGTCTTTTCCTAATTTCCTCTTCAGCTGGAAGTTGGTTTGTTCTCTCCCACAGAAGGCTGTTGCTGATGGTATCCGGCCAATGGATGTTGAGTATCTTGCGAAGGCAGCTATTTATAAATACTTGTACTTTCTTGATTGTGGTTGTTGTAGTTCTCCAAGTTTCAGCTCCATACAGTAGAACTGCCTTGACGTTCGTATTGAAGATTCTCACTTTGATATTGGTTGAAAGTTGTTTTGAGTTCCATATGTTCTTCAATTGTAGGAATGCGACCCTTGCTTTACCGATCCTCGCCTTTACGTCTGCATCTGAGCCTCCTTGTTCATCGATGATGCTTCCCAGATATGTGAAGGATTCTACATCATCCAGAGTTTCGCCATCAAGAGTGATTGGATTGCTGTTCTCCGCTTTGAATTTAAGGGCCTTAGTTTTCCCCTTGTGTATGCTGAGGCCTAATGATGCAGAGACTGATGCTACACTGGCTGTCTTCATCTGCATCTGTTCGTGTGTACGTGATAGGAGGGCTAGGTCATCTGCGAAGTCCAAATCGTCTAATTGATTCTGAGCTGTCCATTGTATTCCATGTTTTCCTTCAGATGTTGAGGTCTTCATAATCCAGTCGACCACCAGAAGAAAAAGGAAGGGAGAGAGTAAACAGCCTTGTCTGACTCCGGTCCTTACTTGGAATGCATCTGTCAGCTGTCCTCCATGCACTACTTTGCACTGTAGTCCGTCGTATGAGTTCCGGATTATATTGACAATCTTCTCAGGAATTCCGTAGTGTCGAAGAAGTTTCCATAACGTCCTCCTGTCTACACTGTCGAATGCCTTTTCATAATCAATGAAGTTGATGTATAATGATGAGTTCCACTCAACTGATTGTTCGACGATGATCCGTAGTGTTGCAATTTGGTCTGTGCACGACCGATCCTTACGGAATCCAGCTTGTTGATCTCGAAGTTGGGCGTCTACTGCATCCTTCATCCGGTTCAGCAACACTCTGTTGAAGACTTTCCCTGGTATTGACAGTAGTGTTATGCCTCTGTAGTTTTCACATTTGCTCAGATCTCCTTTCTTTGGAATCTTGATGAGGTGTCCTTCTTTCCAGTCCATCGGCACTTGTTCCTCCTCCCAAATCTTTTTGAATAGAGGGTAAAGCATGCTTGTGGTTACTTCGACGTCTGATTTCAGTGCTTCAGCTGGTATGTTGTCGGGTCCTGCTGCTTTCCCGTTCTTGATTTGTCTGACGGCCATTCTAATTTCTTCCGTCGTTGGTGGGTTGACCTCTATAGGAAGATCTGTGTGTGCTGCTTCGATGTTCGGCGGATTCATTGGAGCCGGCCTATTCAGGAGTTCCTCGAAGTATTCTACCCATCTGTTACGTTGTTGTTGAATTTCGGTGATTGGCTTGCCTTCTTTGTCTTTGACCGGCCTCTCTGGTTTACTGTATTTCCCTGATAGTTTTTTCGTTGTATCGTAAAGCTGTTTCATGTTTCCTTTTCTAGCAGCTTTTTCTGCCGTCGTTGCTAGTTCTTCAACGTATTTCTTCTTGTCGGCTCTAATGCTCCTCTTCACTTGTTTGTTTGCTTCTATGTATTCAGCTTGTGCTTGGACTTTCTCTGCTCGTGTTCGGCTGTTGTTTATTGCTGCCTTCTTGTTCTTCCTTTCTTTGATCTTGTCCACTGTTTCTGTAGAGATCCATTCCTTATGATGGTATTTCTTTAGACCGAGAACCTCTTGACACGTTGAAGTTAATGCTTCCTTGATGCCTTTCCAGTTGTCCTCCATAGTAGTTTCTTCTTCTTTCAGTAGATCTCGTAAGGCTTGGAACCTGTTGTTGAGAGCTATCTTGAATTCATTGAGTTTGACAGTATCTCGAAGGAAAACTGTATTGAACCTTTGTATTGCTGTTTGTCCACTTGTCCAGTTCTTTTTTAGCTTCAGTTTCAAATTGGCTACAACTAGGTGGTGATCTGAAGCTACGTCAGCACCTCTCCTGGTTCTCACATCTTCCATTGTCCTTCGGAATTTTTTGTTGATGCAAATATGATCTATTTGGTTCTCTGTAGTGTGGTCCGGTGAGATCCATGTAGCCTTGTGTATACGCTTGTGTGGAAATATTGTGCCTCCTATGACCAATTTGTTGAATGCACATAGATTTGCAAATCTTTCTCCATTTTCGTTTCTCTCTCCCAGTCAATGCATGTCGTCCCATAATATCTTCATATCCAGTGTTGTCTATTCCGACCTTGGCATTTAGATCTCCCATCAGAATGGTGAGGTCCTTTCTTGAGCATTTCTCTATGATTGACTGCAGCCGCCCGTAGAATTGATCTTTAATGTCGTCGTTGCTATCATTGGTGGGTGCATAACATTGGATAATATTCATTAAGATCCCCTCCTTCTTTGTTTTGAATGATGCTTTGATGATTCTGGATCCGTGGGATTCCCATCCTACAAGTGCATTTCGTGCTACTTTGGACAGCATTAGAGCAACTCCCTGAGTGTGTGGAGCATTGTCCTCTTCGTGACCGGAGTATAGCAGCATCTCTCCCGTAGCTAGCCTTTTCTGTCCAGCTTGGGTCCAGTGGGTTTCGCTGATTCCCAGTACTGCCAAGTTGTATCTCCTCATTTCCGTTGCTATTTGGCTGGTCTTCCCGGTTTCCCACATTGTTCGAACGTTCCATGTACCTATAAAAATTTTTGCTCTGGTTGTTAGAAGGGGCATCGGCCTCGTGCCTTCCGAAGGAACTCGGCTTTCACCATGAAGCGTCATAATTCTTCTAAATGAAGACCTTCTAACTCCCAGGGCAGAGTTAAAATGGTTTGGATTATTTTTTCTGGTAAGCGTTTTTTTAGCGAGTTAGTTTTCTACGGGATGGGGACGCTAACCCCATGCCCAACCCTCCTCCTTTACCCGGGCTTGGGACCGGCAGCAACCCTATAAGAGCTACAGGCGGAGTTTGAGATAATATAGATACTTCCATTAAAAGACGGAAGCCATAACATTTTTACTTTGTAAAGTTTACTGCGTTCAGACCTTTCCGACCTTAATTATGTATTCAGAGGGATAGTGTGACATATCTTTCTTTGACATGGTGAGCATATTTGTATTCACATAAATTGGCTGTTACCTAATTTCGATATTTATACATTCATATCAGAAGAGGCTTTTGTGGATATTTTAGTAATTTTAATATCAGATGGGTTTTTTAATAGTTGAACTCATGAGCCAATTGAAGCTAGACCAACATGGAAAACCTGGAATCAATGATCGGTCGTTTCGTCCTATTACGGGACTCCTCACCAGTGCTCATCCACGACCCTGCCTCATAATATTCGAACTCAGGATCTATCGGTCTCGTGCATCACCGCTTAAAATCTAGACCACTGAGCTGGTCGGCATCCAACGGTGTTGATGTCTAACTTCAACTAATTCACGAAATTAAGCGACGAATCCACTATTGTCTTCAGTGAGTCACTATCTCACAACAGACTTGGTTGAACTCCACTAATTACTGCTTTTATTAGAACTCCAGGAAACACCTCTTGAAGCCAGTCATTAGTGAGCACATGTTGATTTGTATCAGAGGGGGTTTTGTGGATATTATAGTAATTTTAATAGTTGAGATCATGAGTCAATTGAAGCTAGACCACCATGGACAACCTGTAATCACTGGACGGCCATTTCGTCCTACTGTAGGACTCTTTTTATGTCCACGTTTACGATAACTGATAAATATTTCATGAACAGTTAGATAAACAAATGTTTACGAAGTGACACTAGTTGAAATTGTTCGATTTGTAGGTAATTGAAATTATGGTTATAATTTAAACAGACAATCTCTAAAACCAGCGAAGTACTTTAAGGTTGTTTCGTTTTGATATGAAACTCAGTAATGAGTTCACGCAATCCCATCTGAGTCTTTCATTGAGTTGGTAATATGATTGTAATTGAGAATATGAAGTATTGTATTCTAATCTAGAGATCTAAAGTATTTGTACATTTCTTAAAATCCAATAGTTCTGAGATTGCAAATGAGCACTACTGATGAGTTACTGAATAATATATAACAGTTTTGTATTCAACACATAGCAGTTTTTTTCTGGTTTTTTTAGATAAAGTTATTTTTTCGATCACAAATGTCAAAGTAATGGGAAGTAGCTTTATACGTACTTTTACTGTTAAGTTATATTGTTCTACGATTATTAGTAATTCCTACGAAATACACTAGTCTAGAGTTTTGAAACATAAATACAGCATTGTCAGATCATTTACCTTAAAAACTATTTGATTGTTTTGAATGATAATTGTCATATGATCATCATATGCTCACTAGTGATGGTCTCTAAGAGGTATTTCCTGGAGTTCTAATGAGAAGCAGTGACCAGTGGAGTTCAATCGGGTCTGTTGTGATATAGTAACTCACTAAAGACAATGGTGGACAGTGGCACAATTTCGTGAATTGGTTGAAGTTAGACATTAACACCATTGGATGCCAACTCAAAAGTTTAGATGTTAAGCTTTCGCGCACGAGACCGGTAGGTTCTGGGTTGGAATCTCACGAGGCGGGATCGTAGATGCGCACTGCTGAAGAGTCCCATACTAAGACGAAACAGCCGTTTAGTATCTAAGCGTCCGCGAGCAAGACTAAAAGCTTTGCGGGCTAAAAGTCACAAAAAATTGGTAATCGCATTAAACAACATTCGTAAATATATGATAAGAATATGTCTTGGTGAAATGCTGACATGTATTTACATTTAACAAACACTAAATCTATTCACAACAATAAATAATGAATTGAGTAAACAGGAAATCAGAATAATTAATTTGTACTGTACAAATAATTTGTTTGTTCTATTGCATAAATCATAATAACAACAGTTATACTTGTTAACAAGTCCTGGAGTAAGCTCATTGATAGCATCTTTAGGTGGACATTTAAGTAAACAACCTCGACCTTCCATTTGATAACCTTGGAAAGTTGAGTAAGCTGTCTGTAAATAAGAAATTAAAGAAAAACAAAACATTGTTCAAAAAATACACTTCTATATATGATCCATATATATGCAATGTTTGATTTAGTTTCTTAATATTATTTGTATTCCTGATATTCTATAATGATGTATTGACAATACTTTGTAACGAAGCAAGTGGCTATCAGGACTCAGTAGCTAAGTGGATAACGCGATGTTGTTTGAAGTGAATGGTACTGGGTTCGAGTCCCAGAATGAACATCAACTCTGAGATGCAGGTACATTCAGCTAACGAGTCCCAAATAGGACGAAACGCGCGTCTTGGATTCCACTGCTAGCCACTACCCATTATTGCTTACAAATAGCTTGTGAATTAAGGCAATATCGAGGCATACACACAGTATGCACATATGCCGATAACAGATTGATCAATCGCAGTTTTAAACCTCAATGGGAAGATACAAGCCAACTAATATCAAGTGAGTTCAAACTCATTTATGTGAATATATTCAACTAATTTTATGATCCCGATTTCAAAATTCCCCAGGTATCATGTTATTCTGCCTAGGTCTTTGTTTTTATACTCTTCAAATGTTTTGAAATAAGATATCAAATATACAAAATTATGTCAGCCATTAGACAACTATTGCTATTCACAATGGAAAAGGATCTCTTACGATCATAAATTGACTGAATTTAGTAATGTAAACTATTAAATATCACCTCAATGATCTGAAGGTTACTTCCTTGTCACGATACCTAAAGAATCTGAGTTTTTCCATGTGTGATTTTTAGAACATGAACTGGAAAGGAGTTTTATGCTGATACTAAACAGCTTTCTAATGCTTCTAATGGTTAAAAATAGTTATCTAATTAAAATCAGTGTGTGGTGTAAATCTATAATTAGGTGTGTGTTTATCGCCCAATTATATGTACACATGTTCTAGAAATCTGCTTCCTCAATATAAATTAGATAATTAAATATCTTACAAGACAACTGTATGGTTATTCAGCAGTTACATATACGAAAAATGTGCAAACATTTTGCATGTACATATGTAAGACATGACTATGGTTATTCAGTCAGTCAGTCAGCAACAACCTATAACTTCGTACGTACGTACATCAGTTCGAGTTGCCATACCACATTAGCACAGAGATGCAGTTGTCGATTCGAATCCCGTAGTGGCAGAGGTAGTAAGAGTATAAGCAGTAATCGGGAACTATGGTTATTAATTTCATGTTGATCTTGGTTGTACCAATACCAATGAGTACCAAACTGATGTAAACACAGCTATTCAGTGCAATACGTGTTTCCATTTATCCTTCAGTTGATATTAATATATAGTGAAATATGCCTTCATAATGTTTATTCACGATACTTCTTCTTCTTTGTCTTCTTACGCTTGTTACTCCTCGTGGAGGAGCATAGGCCGCTCACCAGCACTCACCATCCAACCCTTTCATGGGCAATCCTTTCTAGTTGTTATTTATCCTTTTCATATCTGTTTCTATTTGCCAACATAATGTGTTCTTTGACCTTCCTTTTTTCCTCTTCTCTTCAGGATTCCAAGTTAGTGCTTGCCTCGTGATACAGTTTGATGATTTCCGTAATATATTTCCTATCCATTTCCATCGTCTTTTTGTAATTTCTTCTTCAGATGGGAGCTGGTTTGTTCTCTCCGACAGTAGACTGTTGGTTTATTCATAATACAAACAATAAATTAAAAATAAAACCTTCTTTATTTTACTATAATATGAGGTTATTTTCTATTGACTTACAATACAAACTCCACAGCTGTCTAAAATTTCATCTTTTGTAATTTGGAATAATTTTTTGTATTTGTCTTCACATGGTAAACAAACACGACATTTGATAGCGAATGCTGTTAGAAGAAAATATAAAATATCCTGTTAGTGTTATAACAGATACTTCAATCAGTCAGTAAGTCAGCTACGACGTAGGACCAGGCACATATATGCATCGGTCCAAGTTGCCATACCTCATTAACACAACAAGATGGACACCAGATTCATAAAATTAGTTAATTCAGTGGTGGTAATATATAAAGGAAAGATCTTATGTTTGGATATAATACAGGAAGAAAGAATTAGTTCGTAGAAAGAAAGATATGAAATAATTTTAATCTCACAGTTTAAGGGAAGACAGAAAGTGTATGCACCAACACTATTGTGATACTTAATAAACCATAAATTAACAAACCTTTTTCTAGTCTAAATTATTACTGAAGTAAATAAAGCAGTCGTGGTTAAGTTATGTCTGCGGAAAGTCGACATCATGGACGAACAGTGGGTAGATAAAGATCGAAAATCCTGAAGTATTGAACAGTTGTTTCTATCCTAGAACAGAACTGTAGTATATAGTACTACTGTGGTCTATGTTATATATGTCTATTAACATACGTAGTAGGTGACATCAGTCACAAGTGGAGTGCCTGATAGCAGAAGGTTGAGAAGATCAAAGAGAAGAGAACGAGAACAGAGAGTGATTGTAATAGCAATGATGGAGCGATGAAGTTTGGGATAATTGATAGTGGATTTTATGTATCGTTTTCACATTTTAGTAGAAAACTCTGTAAATCTGTAATTAATAACGAAATTGGTTATCCTCACCTGAGGTTTCGTTCATTAAACTGCTACACACATAATCCATCCTAGCTTTTGAATAGGTTTGAGTAACCCAGACAACATTTGACTATTGAGTCATTTTTACCTTCATAATAACTGATCTTTTCATAGGAAATTGTGAGCCACAGGAAATATAAGTCTATCATTCGTTATTTAATATAATACCTGTTTCTTTATTGTAATACTCATTATCCATTTTGAGCAAATCCCTTAACTCGTTTACCGCACGTCTTTAGATTATTTTTATCCGGTTCTAAATAGTGAGTGACGCTTTACCAAGATGAGTTGAAATGCTTACCTCCTCCACTTTGCTTTCCTACTTCTCATCTTAATTTTTGTTTAAGTAAATGAATGCCTGACATCTAACTTAGTCCGTATTTGGCTTCTGATTACCGCCATCGCTCAAATTGGGTTTACCTAGATGTAATAGACGAAGTTAAATGGGAGATTTGTATTCATGGTATACTCTTTCGTTCATCCAAGTCGAAATCAGATCACAGGCCAAAAAACTCAATAACAAAGACACTTATTCCTTTATGAAGTTTTGAACCCAGAATATTCGAGTCTGGCAGCTAAGAATTTACTTTCTATACCATTGAGTCTAGTTTCATTGATTTTCATTTCCAAAGTTATTCAGTTTGTTCTTTTTAGACATGATTTGATAAACATTTCACCTTTAACTATTATTTATAGGATATTAGTCTTACAATTAGACGGATATAACTTTATTGTTATTTTTTATTTGAACACATGAAAATTGGTACAAGGGGGCACCAAATACATATGCGCAACATAATAACAATGAGGCTAGTAATCCGTCAGTCAGTCAGCTACGACGCAGGACCAGACACATCTGTGCCACACATCATTAGCACAGCAAGATGAACACCGAATTCATAGAAATAGTTAATTCAGTGGTGGCAATATATAAAAGAAAGATTGCATATAAGTATATAATACAAGAAGAAAGAATTAGTTCGTAGAAAGAAAGGTATTAAGTAATTTTAATCTCACTGTTTAAGGACAGAAAAAGAGTGTATACACCGACGCCGTTGTGATTGATTCTGAGCCATACGATTCAGTCTCCAATCAACCACAACCAAGTAATCTGCATCACACAGTATGGCTTAGACTACAAGTTAGTGGCTTCAAGGACTGATGCCACGTTTTGGTTGGGCCACCGCTAACTTTCTTCAAGCAATCTTCTCCACTATTCAGCATTGTGCGCCGTGGTAGTCGGTGTTCAGGCATACGTAACACGTGGCCCAACCATCTTCGTCGATGAAGAGGCTAGTAGTTGTTGTCATTGATTTGTATGAGGATTGTGATACTATCCGGGTGACAAAACTAAAGCAGGTGGTTTTCTTTGGCCACAACCTGAGCCTTTGACTTAAAGGTATAATCCACAAGACAGTGGAAGAACGTCAGGAGATACAGTCCCATGGTTGTTACGCTATCTGTTACCTCTGAATCCTGGAGCTCATGTGCACCATTGATTTAGAAGCGAGGTTTTTCAACTCCCCTAGGTGGATCTTCCATATCCACTAATCTTAAAGTTCTGGACATTCGCTTTTCGTCCTCTCAATTTCGTAAACAATACCCCCACCACGAGAAGGCAGTGAATAGGACTTCGCATTTAGTGGCTGTATACGTTAGTCTATGTAAGAGCATTTGGAGAAGGAGAGAGTACTCACCCTTACTTTGATCGTACCAGAGTATTCGGGGGGTATAACTTACAAAACAAAACATTTCATTTTATGAATTGGAAAACAACTAGTAAGAATAAATATTTTTAAAAACATAAAATTTAGAAAAGCGATCTTTTTCGACTAATTTCCTATCAAACTGTACAATTATATATATATATGAGATGACGAACTGACCCAAGTTAGGGAACCGTTGAAAACCTAAGAGTAATTGATGATCTCTGCGTATCAACATGGGACACCTCAGCACATCCAATCCTGCAACTGAGAACAAAAACCAAGGAATTTCAATTTCATGAGCAAATGTATAACTTTTAGATCAGTAAACTGCGATTTAATGGTATACATACCTAACTTCAGTCACTCCACTCACTTCATTATGCAATTGTTTACTTCCATTCTGAATAATGATCCTGAAGTATTTATTTGACATAATAACTACAAATGTATTTTTTGTACTTAATGTACACATGTATTTGTTATATATGATGAGTTTTGTGGCTTGGATTAATCCATATTATATTGTATCTCAGTAGGTCATTTCAATCTGAATACCATTGTAAGTAGCTGATTAAGAAATAAGGAACTAAAATGACTTCATATTATTCTGTTTCAGTTATTATTTTGACTTTATTCCCATTTAATTCAAAATAAGTTGTAACCCGTTTTTATAGTAAATTAAGTGATTGAATACATTGTTGATAAATATCATATCGTGGGACTCCTCAGCAGTGCGCATCCACGACCTCGCCCCCTGCGAGATCCGAACGCGGGACCTACTGGTTTCGCGCGCGAGCACTTAACCCCTAGACCACTAAGCCGGCATTCAACGGTGTTAATGTCTAACTTCAACTAATCCAGTGCTTCCAGGTTTTCCGTGGTGATCTAGCTTCAACTAAATCATTATGTTAACCATTAAATTTACTATAATATCCACAAAACCCATCTGATACTAAATATCATATCATTGAAACGATTTAGTGGCCATAATAAATAAGTAGTCTTGTAGGCTACTCTTTCATAACATTTCATATTATTTAGTGATTTATCACTGTATATAAACCACAATCTTACGGTGTGTGATTTGCGGCTAAAATAGGTCAGTATTAATGCCTCTAATTGGGAAAGTGTTTAATACAGTTTGAGATCTATGCGGAGGAACAGTTCGCTCAATGTTGCATAGATGTATTTGATGTGATGGAAAGAAAAGTCAATTTTCGACTGATTTACTCATTATGAGTTTTGGTTCAAGATTACTTCCATTTTGATTCAATACAATGATTACTCAATGTAGTATTTGTTTTATTGTCTCGTATGATATTTTATTCTGTATAATATGCGAGATATTCTTGTATTCCATTGATATGAACTATGCTCAGTGTGTGATTTCTTATAACTCGAAGGATTTCATCCTAATTATTAATCAAAATGGGTGTACAATTAATATATAAATGAGCGTATTTTCTACTAGAGTTGTCGTCATCGTCATAGTGTTTTGGGGTTAATAAATCGTCACTTATACCTGTCTTTGTGTTCTTACTGTCGCGTCGTGGGAATTGCAGAGGTCCCTTGTTCCGAGTATAAGTGATAAACGTTTCCGACATAACAATCAGCGACCACCAGATACAAAAGTAGCATCAAAAGAGCCAAGACAATAAGAATTCAAACAAGTTATAACAGTATTGTTGATGAATACCACTTAGCATGAAATCTTGATCTGGGACTTCTTGTCGATTTCCTTTGACCAACTAACATCAAGTCGCTAAACTAGTGGTTACAGTGCAATTTTACCGATAGATTTCAATCAATATGATATATGTTGAATATGAACAACAAAAAATGAAATCCATGTGCATCGAGCTGAGAATACCTATACAGAATGGAATATGAGACATGGATTTTATTATTAATCACTCTTTAAATATAATTAACTTGTATATGTTGACAATATGAAGGAATTCATCGGAGGAGTCAGTAACAACAAGGGATGATGGAATTCATCACTGAATATTTGCAACGGGAAAGTACAAAAATTTACAATTAAGGACGAATATGCAATAATATTGTTTACATTTTTTTCTTTCATTTTACCTAGTAGCGGTTCGCTCATGAATCGTAGTCACTGGTTGAAGACGTTGAATGACATGCCTCAAAATCAGTTACAATGTCACAGCTATATCTTTTCTTTATCGTCTGATAGATTTCGAGTTTTAAGGTTATCTTTTATATTTTATTCCATGAATTCGTTCATTTTTTCTTTACTTATATTATCAATATTCAATCGTTTCTACCACTTATAACACTGTTACTACCCGTTCTACTCTACAATTTCATTTCACTATGTTGATGTTGTATGTCAACTTGAATAGATGAACACAGTTGTCAGGTTTTATGTTGCTTATTCACAATTGATTGATCACTGGGTGGTGATCAATGTCATCCTTGTCTAGTCCTCATTAGTGCAGATCGAATGCTAACGACCATGTTGCAATGTGGCCAGCAGTTTAGGTGACTCGACACTGCGTGCACTATATATTGAGATTAGATGGTGGTTGGAGGTAGTCAACAGGAAACCCTGGACCCGGGTTTCGTGCTACTTGGCACTCGTCAGCAAGGTGTACCTGTAATCTTGAGGGAACTGATGCTCTCTGGCGGATTCGATCTCCTGTCACCCAGCTTCGCAGTGAGAGACATTTACCACTGAGCTATCCGAGCCGTGACTGACCTTCTGTCGGACTGAGATGTAATCACGATTGATTGATCACTGGGTGGTGATCAATGTCATGCGTGTCAAGTCCTTGCTTATTGGCTAACTGACTGACCGCCTGACTGACTGGATAACCAAATGGATCTAGAAATTATACTAGTTAGGCAGCCATGCAAAACAGTTATTCAACAATAACTATAAATGACAAAAGTTTGAATATTTTATAATCTTTTTGTTTTGTTTAAAGTCATATGTTATTTTGTAAGATGATTTATAGATAGAAAAATAATTGACGTTTTATATACAAAATGAAAATAGTACTTTCTGTCAATTTGACATTATGAAATGTTTGACATCTTTTTTTAAAATAATTTAACAGTTGAATTCATGAATCGATCAAAGCTAGATCACCATGGAAAACCTGGAAACACTGGATGACCATTTCGTTCCAGTATGGGACTACTCAACAGTGTGCATTCATGATCCTCCACACGGGACTCGAACTGAGGACCTTCAGTCCGATGCGCGAATGCTTAATTTCTAGATTACTGAGTTGGCATCAAACAGTGTTAATGTCTAACTTCAATCAGTTCACGAAATTCTACCAGTGTTCACCATTGTCTTCAGTCAGTTACTGCCTCACAACAAACACGGTTGAACTCCATTGGTCACTATTTCTCACTAGAACTTCATGAAATATACATCATTATTTCCTTGTTTGACATCTTTTTTTTCTAATGAACTAAATATGTTTTCATAACGAAAAGAATGAATCAGTAGCAGGTTTTGATTTCATTATTAGTTACAATTGAAGCAACGTTAGGTCAATTTACCGATTTTCAAGGGTTTATATTTTTTTCTTATTCGATAATTAAGATTATTTGATCAACATCTTCCTTTCTCTTGATCGAATGCCTTCGTATTTCTTTTGGTTAAAAATCTTAGTATATTTGATCGGGATGAGTAATGGAATCCAGGAGGCTGATTTCGAACTATTTGAGATTTATCAGCTGAGTAACTTATCTCTTACTAACATAAAGATTAGGAAATAAATCACAGGAACAGTTATTCAAGGTCCATGTGTATGGTAGTTATCACGACATATAAAGCTATTGGATTTATATCTCTCGATTATCATGAGTGTACACTGTTGATGATTGATCAGTCAGTGTGAAACAATATTTAAGTCCTTCTCAGTTCACCAGTAGATATTTATTCTGAGTGAAAGACAAACGAGAGGTTAGATGCGCACTGATATTTATTATGTAGCCTAAAATTAAAATGTAATGAGTAACTGTGACTAATATAATTAGAAGTGGTTTTGTGAAGATTTTAGTCATTTCAATAATTGAAATCATGAGTCAATTAAAGTTAGACCATTATGGAAAACCTCGAAGAACTGGATGTGGATTGGTTGAAGTTAGATATTACCACCGTTGGATATCGGCTCAGTGCGCTCGAGTGCGAGACTGATAGGTTTTGGGTTCGAATCTCGCGAAACGGGATCATGGATGCGCACTGCTGAGGAGTCTCACAACAGAAATAAACGGCTTTCCAGTGCTTTCAGATTTTTCATGGCGGTCTAGCTTCAAGTAACTCATGATCTGAACCATTGAAAATACATTTTATTCATAGCTTTCCTATTATTAAAAGTTAGTTTGTTCTATAACAAAATATACTGATATTTTCAATTGTTTCTTCTAGAATTTAGAAAAATGGAGAAAACGTACTTGTGAAATTGATTTATTGAAATGAAGTAAGTTAAAATAAAAACTAGAACTAATTCACTTGGTATTTTTTTACTTGAATCTTCCCAATGATGTTTAGGACTACAATTGATCAGTCTCTTATTGGCATATGTGGGTATTGCCTCGATATTGCCTTAATTTACAGGCACTATAAGCAAACATGGATAATGGCTATTACTTAAATACAACATACAAAGCTAGATTTTATTTATTCAAACACATAAATATTATCAGAATCTGGCGGGAGGCGAGATTGTGGATGAGCACTGCTGAGGAGTCCCACACTAGGACGAAACGGCTGTCCAGTGCGTCTAGGTTTTCCACGGTGATCTAGATTCAATTGACTCATGATTTCAACATAAATATTAGTACAAGAAATAATCAAATATATATGTACCCTATAAGTCAAATAATTTGTATGAGGGCTAGGGTAATGCCCAGGCTCCCAAACTATAATTACAAAGCCAGAACAACAACTGAAGCAGAATAATATGAATTCACTATATTTTATGGTTTCTTCATCATTTACAAACAACCATATATGAATTGAAGGGTAACATTGAGTTATGATTTAATGTGAAACAATCGATACTGATATATATATATATATGCAAGAATAGGTTAAAGGTCATTTAGAGATTGAATTCAAAAGCATAGGGGTTTAGGTGATACATTGATTAAATGAGGTCAGGAGATATATAAGATAGATTGTGCAATGATTTTACAAGTTATAAAGGGTTTACATACCTATTTAGTAGTAAGAAGCTGATGAGAAACCACGAAATATAATGACATCATATTACTCTGCATCAATATTTGTTCTGGCTTTATATAAAGGGCTTACATAAAATTACTGGAATTAGAAATTGATAAGATGAGTTATGTAATAATTAACTAGCATTTAAAGAGTCTATATAAGTTAAGAGAATTAAGTGAATGGATACGTATGAGTGAAGGGATGGTTTTGGTGTACATAAA